AACATTTTATAAATTGTTAAACATCATATAAACAAAATTAAATTGTACATGGTATTCTAACAGGAAACTTTCACATATAATCACTTAAAAATAATTAATTACTCTCTATAACTATAGTTTGATAATAACAATTTGAAGCTACATGTTATATGAAGGAGAGGAGTGAGCAAGACCGGGAGAGAAAGGGGGAAAAGAGTGGGAGAAAAGTGGATTGTATATATATTGGTTAGATAATTGTATATTACAATATGTACTTGTATATATGACAAGAGAGATTGGGAGAGGGAGGAGAGAGGCAAGCGAGAGAGGGCAGAGAGGTGAATTGTATATAATTGTATATTATACATATATATTTGTATATAGGGCAAGCGAGATTGGGAGAGAGAGGAGAGCGAGAGAGGGCAAAGAGTGAGAGATGTGAACTGTATATGTATATAGGGTAAATAATTGTATATTATACATATGTGTATATTTGTATATTCTGGCGAATTATACATATACAAACAGGACTAGTTATACAAGTTTGAAGTCAAACCCACATAATTACTGTATAATGTTAGTCGTGAGTGATAATTACAGCAAAGTATAGCTATGATGAGTAATTAACTAATATAAATTTATTTTGTTAGCGTAATTTTTCCTATTCTAATTATAATTTATATAATTGGGGCATCCAATATTAATAGGTGTAAATCTAGTCAATTTTTCTATGGCTAAATAGTATTTTATAAAATTTCATGGAATTGTTATTTTCTCGATTGACTCATGACTAATTGTAATTGATTCGGAATTTTTTTGATACGCTAAGTTATTGACTATAAGGTAGCAATTGTCACTCTTAAAAGTGTAGTTTTATGACACAAAAACTCTTGTCATTTAATTATGTGAAGGAGAATTCATCTAATTAACATTTGAAAAACGTAATTTTAGGGTAAAAGTTACGCTAATTTACGCTAAGTTCATATATATTTCTTATCAATAGAAATTTAATTTGTAGGAAATTTTGACAAAAGGAAACTTCAAAAAGTACATTCATCTAGAATTTGGACAAGTCCTTTGTAAGAAAAGTAAAAAGAAAAATATTTGAACTTGTCAATTAATTATAGCTACAAAGACAACAGACTATTTTTTTAACACATTATTGATTACTTAACGTTTTCAACATAAAATCAAGCCAGAAACTATTTTCACCTATTATAGTCAGATCTCTCTATAATAATTATTCTCTAATCTCTATAATAACATTTAATTATTACAAAGGTCTACATGTTTTCTTTGTCAAAGATAACCTTAATACTTGTCTTTCCAGGTTTAAAGAACACATTGTCATTTAGTACACATCCTAATCAATAAATTTGTGCCAAAGTAAATTTACTTTACTCAAAAGTAAAACGTTCTTTATCAACTAAATATTTTTATTTTCAAAGCTTGAACTCTAAACCTCTCCCCTTAAAATTTCATATCTGATCAAACACAACGTGACATCGAAGTAAGTAACGTAAAAATCCTTTTATCTCCATTTCTTATTATCATTTGTAAATTGAATTCCTTTACTTTATAACCATTTTATGGTTCATAATGAGTTTCCTCTCACATTCATATCATACTAATGTTACTATCCAAAGACTTTTCTTACCTAAATATGAAGTTTGAAACTTCAAATTAGTAAAAAAAAAGATCACTTCTTCTATCATGATATATCTATATAAACTCTAAATACTTTACCCACAAATAAATTAACCAAAAAAAAAAACTCTGTCAACATGAAAGAATTAATTTTCATTCCTTTAGCAGGATTAGGGCACATTGTATCAGCTATTGAATTTGCAAAACAAATTCTAAATAAAGATGAAAATTTTTCCATCTCTTTTCTCATCATGGAACTTCCTTTAGACTATGGTGTGAAAAATTTCATTCAATCACTCACTTCTCAACCTCGTTTAAAATTCATCGATATCACCCTAGACGAAAAAACATCATCTCAATTCCTCAATAACCATGAAACATTCCTCTATGATTTCATCGATGGTCACAAACCACGCGTACGTGAATATGTTCACAACATTTGTAAAACAAGTCCATGTTATGGTTTTGTTCTTGACATGTTTTGTACATCGATGATTGATATAGCTAACGAATTCAATGTCCCTAGTTACATTTACTTCGCGTCAAACGCTTCTTTTCTTGGCTTATGTCTTCATTTTGAGACTTTAAGAAATGAACAACATTCAGATACGTCCAGATACATGAACTCTAACGAGGCATTATCAATCCCATGTTTTAAAAATCTTTGTCCTACTAAAGTTTTGCCTAAGCATTTGTTAGATTCAAGACTTGCTTCAACATTGTTTTTTGATGGAATTCGTCGATTTAAAGAGACTAAGGGGATTATTGTTAATACTTTTTTCGAGCTTGAATCGTTTTCTCTTCAGGCTCTTTTGGATTCTAAGATGGTTCCAAAAATTTATCCAGTTGGTCCAGTGGTTAGTTTTGAAAAAAGTGGTCATTTTATAAATAATTCATTGGAGATTGAAAGTACTATTAAGTGGTTAGATGATCAACAGGATTCCTCTGTAGTGTTTTTGTGTTTTGGTAGTATGGGAAGTTTTGAAGCAGAACAGGTCAAAGAAATAGCAACTGCACTGGAGCATTCCGGTCACAGGTATTATTAGTTGTAATTTTTTTTTTTACTCTCCAGTTTCATCAAGTTGCTTGTCTGGTTTACATGTAGCACAGAGTTTTTTTTATTAAAAATAGAAAAGACTTTTCAATTTTGTGGTATTTCTTAAACGATAAATAGGTAGAATATAACAAAATATCTTTTAATTTTACAGTTTTAAACATGTCACGTGAAAATTTGAAGTTAAAGAGTTGTTAAAAAAAAGAAGGGAAAATGCACAAGCACCCCTCAACCCGTTTTCGCATGGGCTCATCATCTGATGCAGAACCGATGCGAGAGGGAGAAGCGGGGATTGATAGCTTTCAAGAACCAGTGGAAAGGAAAGACTTCTTTCCCGAAATCTCAGAGACACACTTATACTATATTAAAGTCTTATTACCCCTGAACTTATTTTATAAGTAATTTTCTATCCATTTTCAGCCTACGTGGTTTCAACTTGAAAAAAAAAAGTCAATCAGCCTTTGGCCCAGAAGATAGTGCCATGAAAGTCGAAAAGGGATAGAAAATTATTAATAAAATAAGTTCAGGGGGAAATAGTACCTTAGTATAGTATAAGTGTGCCTCTGAGATTTCGAACATAGTTTGAGGGAGTACTTGTGCATTATCCCTTACAGAATAAAAGAATAAATAAGGCAAACAAATTTAAACGGAGAAAGTAACATAGTGTGCATACATATAATATATGGATGTACTACATATGATAAAGGTTTATTTATAATTAACTAGAGATGTTATGTTCTAGCCTTAGAGAACGAACTCTCATAATTTACAACATATAATACATATATTGGATCCTAAACTTGGCTCCAAATTTTAACTTTGACTTTCAACTTTCATAATGCACAAACAAACACTTTAACTATCCAACTTTTAAATAAATAAACACATGAGTCCTAAATGGCACAATACAAGTAGGATACCACGTAGGACAAAAAATGACATGTAGGACGACATGTAGGACATACGTGTCTATTTGTTCAACTTTATACAAGTTTAAGTGTTTATTTGTGCACATCTAAAGTTGAAGAACATAAATGTAATTTGAAATCAAGTTAAAGGGCATATTTATGTATTATGCCTTTACGATAATAAGGATTCATATCTCACACCAACTAACTTTGTTGATTGGGATTAAGGGTATAAGTTTTTCTTTTTTTTCATATGTATAGTGGCTTGTTTATATATCTCAAAGGAAAGTTTTTTTCACCTACACTCTCCAAATTAATATTATGTCGTGCGCGTATGTGTTGGATTCTCTAAAACTACTTTATTTTTGGAAAATCCAATACGTACATATCGTCATTTTAAAAAAATCTGAGCAACATAGATTTTTATACCTCGAAAACCTATTCCTAATTTTGTTTTATTGTTATTTTTAAATAGGTTCTTGTGGTCTTTAAGAAAATCTCCACCAAAGGGAAAAGTAGATATACCAACAAGTTACAGCGACTATGAAGAAGTTTTGCCAAAAGGATTCTTGGAGAGAACAAAAGAAAGAGGAAAAATAATAGGATGGGCACCACAAGTAACAATTTTATCTCATCCATCAATAGGAGGATTTGTGTCCCATTGTGGATGGAATTCAATACTAGAAAGTGTACATTTTGGTGTACCAATTGCAACTTGGCCACTCTATGCTGAACAACAAATGAATGCATTTTTATTAGTGAAAGAATTAGGACTTGGTGAAGAGATAAGATTGGACTATGCTGTTGATTTTGAAGGGAAAAATAATCAAGTTGATACAGTAAGTGCTCAAGAAATTGAAAGTGGTTTATTAAAGTTGATGGTAAAAAGTGAAGAAAATGAAGTGAGGAAAAAAATGAAGGAGAAGAGTAGAGTAGCTATGGAGGAAGGTGGATCATCTTATAACTCACTTGGACTTCTAATTAAGGATGTAATCACAAATATTTAATTTTCTTATAGTATATGAAGAAGCAAAACAAGAGAAGATATATGGTATTTGAGGAGATATGTAGTATTATGATTTATGGTCATTTTTAATATTTGTACACTTTCAATATTTATTCAATGCGTTCACTTCAAAAATAATTTTCATACTTCTTTCAAACAATTTTCTTGATTTGAGTCCATCGATAAAATTCAAGTATAATTCATCCTCCTCTCAAACCTTACTTGAGTTTGTCATTATACTTGATATATTATTATTACTATTGTTTCAAATGGATTAAACAATACTGAATATTTATATTTAACTTCAAATTTAAATATACGCTTATAATGCTTGTACAAATTAAGTATTTAAAAATATACATGTATAATATGTATAGTGATTTTATAAAGTTTATGTCAACCAAAAAAAAAGAGAAACTTACTCTCACAATGGAAGGCTCCTTTTTACAATTTTAATTCCAAAATATTCTTTTTTTTTTTTCCAACTAACTCTAACCAAATTCGTAGTCCAAACTTTGGTCAACATATTCTGTGAGCTCACTGTTCAAGAGATTCGACGGAGGAAATGGAAACGCCGGCGAGTAAAATTCCGAGGATCAAATTAGGCTCGCAAGGCCTAGAAGTTTCTAGAATCGGGCTGGGCTGTAGAGGCATGTCTCCCAATCATGGCCCGCCCAAGCCCGAGCCCGAAATGATCAAGCTCATTCAACACTCCATTGATCGCGGCGTCACCTTCCTCGATACGTCCGATCAGTATGGACCTCACATCAATGAACTTCTCATCGGCAAGGTAAAATAAAATGTAACAATTACTGCTTTAATGTGTTGTACCTCCTGCTTTAATGTGTTGTACCTTGCTGTTTTCCCAATTTATACACTAATTGAGGTAGTTAAACATGTGCATTCTAAATTTTATTTTGTTTAGGCAATTAAAGGAATGAGAGAAAAAGTACAAATAGCTTCCAAATTTGGCATAAGTTTGAAAGAAGGGAAAATGGACATTTGTGGTGAACCAGAGTATGTAAGAGCTTGTTGTGAAGCTAGCTTGAAGCGACTAGATATCGACTGCATCGATCTTTATTATGTTCATCGGATTGATATTCGAGTGCCTATTGAAATCACGGTTTGACATCTTACTCTTTTTTTTCCCTTTATTATATTTGAGGATTTCTAGCAAACTTCTTGTAGTACTGTTCGGTCGCTATCTGTTGTTTACACTAGTATCTGTTTTTTCTTGTATTCACATTACTTCTTTTTCTAGACTACTATGAGCTATTTTTCCTCGAGCTGAGGGTCTATCGATAACAACCTTCCTATCTACGAGGTAGGGGTAAGGTTTGTGTATACTCTATCCTCATTCAAACACCACTTTGTGGGACTATACTAGGTATGTTGTTGATTTCTAGCGAATTGTTGGATTGTGTGGTTTGTGTAAAGAGGTAACAGTAACCAGTTAATCACTTGGATAAAAGCAGATTTCACATGGATATAGCTTGGCTAGAAATCGCAAAAATCTTCTAGTCTTTAAAAAAAAAGAATTGATTGAATCAACTGTGTGGAAAATGGTCCCGAGCTATTTACTTGAATCCGCTTTTATATTGCCAAACCGACATATTCATGAAGATCTTCTGATGCACTATATTTTTCGGACTCTTCAAAAGTGTTGATGGAGATGGGTGCGTGTAGGATCCTTCCTCCAAAGACTGTTCTTTGGGAGAATCTGATTAACATAGCTGATGTGTTGTTTGTCAATCCATGAGATAAATTCAGAGACGGAACAATGTTCTACTGATGGTAGAGAAAAAGTGGTGTACGAAAAGGTTGAATTGAATCTTATGCTATGTGAGAAATGTAATGTGTTCCTCTCGAATTCTCGGAGGATAGGCCAATGCTTTGAAATTCTTGTGTTGATAAAGTTTACTCAGTAAAAGGAACACTCATCTATGCTTACTGTAATTTCGTAGTTTCTCTAACTATGAAAGAATTTCTGTCTATGTCACACTTACCCACTCTATGCTCTGTCACCAACGAATTGCTTTATGATGAAATCACAAACAAAGGTTACATCATTGTTAGCTACTACTATTGTTTTTGAAAGCATCACCGAGACAAAATTAATCTTCTATTATAAACAAGTAATGCAAAGCATGGGGAGAGAAAATGATAGGTGCATGGAAGAGTATCAATAAAGATGATACTCCAGTCAAATAGAAGAATAAACATTTCGACAATGGAGTATCTCAAATTGGCAATTTGTTTATTGTGCTTATTGTTATTATTTTGTTTTTGTGACATTGTGTGGCATAGTGTGTAGATGGGAGAACTGAAGAAATTTGTTGAAGAGGGTAAAATCAAATATATAGGTTTATCTGAGGCTTGCGCAGCAACAATCAGAAGGGCACACGCGGTGCATCCAATAACAGCTGTTCAGATGGAGTGGTCATTGTGGACCAGAGATCTTGAGGAAGAAATAGTTCCAACTTGCAGGTAATGTGTCTCTTAGAGTTCACTCTTTCAGATAGTTTGAAGGTTCTTCTGAGTAAATGCCTTTTCCAGAGAATTAGGAATTGGAATTGTTCCGTATAGTCCTCTCGGACGAGGATTCTTCTCAGCAGGTCCAGAGTTGATTGAGAGCTTGGCCGAGGGAGACTTCCGCAAGGTTGGTCTAGTTAATTGCACTGTCTTCGATCTTGCATGATTTTCATTTGCACTTAGCCACTTACCTCCATTAGCTGCATATCATACCCATCATTTTCCTTTTAAACCAAAATTCTGCAACATGTGTCATTGGCTTTTTGTGAAACTCTCAAAGCCTCTCCTTTGGAGAGCTCAATATTAGCATCAACGTTGTGACTTTCCTACTCAGAACCAACGGCTTGCTGATTAACTGAGCTCGACCAATCTACCAGTACTGATCTTGATGAGATTTCGTTAGTATTGATGAATTAAGGCTACGAAACACATGCTACTTATGAATAAGGCGATCTGAATACAAGATCAACGAGTCTTAACTTCTAGTGCAAATTCGGACATAAAAAAACACTCTTTATATATTAACATGCTTAGAGTGTACAAAATATGTACTTCTATCCCACAAAGAATGGCGGGTCACAGTGTCATGGTCAATGCATCCAAATTTTTGGTATATCTGAATTATAGAAACTTAACTAGAAATCACAATATTTATAATTAGAACGATACAAAAATAGAGTTGTTTAAACAAAGTTGTCATCAAAGAAAAAACTGTTTCGGTTCATTGATATTGGGTAACTCTATCCATCAAGGCATAGACAGATAGAAAGAAATCACCTGGTCTTTTTTATTTGAACTTGAACCTCATGGTTCTCAATCCAGTTTGCCAACTCATCCTTATCGCTCGAAATCTCTTCTGATACAGCACGTTATAATTAACGTATAAAACAATACATATAATCGGGATGGCTGATGTCATTTGCTTTTTTTTCCAGAATATACCAAGGTTCAAGCCTGAAAATTTTGAGCACAACAAGCAAATATACGAGCAAGTCAAGGAAATAGCATCAAGAAAGGGATGCACCACATCACAACTTGCATTGGCTTGGATTCTTCACAAAGGAGATGACATATGCCCCATACCCGGTACCACCAAGATTGACAATCTCAACGAAAATATCGAAGCCATATCTGTAAAGCTGACAATTGATGAAATGATGCAGTTAGAGTCCTGTGCTGCTGAAGATATGGTTAAAGGCGAAAGGCACGCATTCATGTGGGCAACTTGGATAAATTCGGAGACTCCACCATTGTCCTCCTGGATAGATGAATAATGGATACTTTCTCGTCTTGCTTTGGAAGAAGCCTCCGTTAAGGCCCAAGTCTAATTCGAAGTAAAGGCTGAACCAGGCAATGTAGTTTTCTCGTATTCTGAACTCATTTTGCTAGTGCATACCTTTATATCTAAGTTTTACTTGTTTTTGCGATGAAATTTTTTGTTATCTCCTGTGTACCTTTGATCCTTTGTGCGATAGAGCCCTTCCACACAAGACTCCTAAATCACTTCAAGTCTCGATTTTTCAATGTTTTCGTATGGTTTAGAATTGCATATTCAAGTTGTACTTTTTCATCCAACACCATGGCCGCTAAACACTCTATAAAGTAGAGCATTTATCCGGTTCTCTCTCTATACTTGATTTACGTAAAACTTGGATCATCTCAAAGTGATAAATCTTCCAGAGACTCGAATCTGTATCCTCGTAAATCTATGCTTTACTTTTTTCTGCCTGAGTTTTATAGATATGTAAATGTTCATGTTAACCAACCTGATTTGATGTAGGCTACCAAAGGAATAAGAGAGGAAGTACAAATAACTATCTAAGTTGTTATCCAAAAGTACTACTTGGTGACATTTTTTAAGAGTCGGAACAATATAGATAGCTTTTGTATCAAAACAACTTTCATTCAGTATTCTATTGATTGATATTAGGGAGTTGTATTCAGCCAGCTTTCAATTGTATACTTTATTGAATTTTGCAGGTGTAAGATGGAAGGGAAACAACTATTATATTACAAAAAACAAAGAAGCAATGTTTTGACAGGTTGTAAATTAATAAAGCTGCATAACAAAGGCATGATGTTTATAAAAGGCAACAAGAAATCACAGTGAAAGATCATCTACAACATACAGAAAAAGGACAGGGATGTCGGCTCTAGGCGCACAATATACTTGAGCATGAGCGTGGCTGCAACAATTGGCTGTACTTTTGCTGCAATTATCAAATTTAATTTGAGATAAACGTGGAGAAATTAAGTGAAACCAAACATTAGATTAGAGAAAGGAACACGAAAAAAATAAAACAGAAACCATATTTACCATTGTTGTAATTACAGGCACATAATTGACTCACAGCTTCCGGACGACCCTACTATTTCTGTATTATTGGTGTCAAGTTAGATGCAGGTAAATACTCAAAAACAAAACATCGGAGTTTATTTCTACTTACTTTGATAATGAGGTCAATACGGTCGTTTCCTTCATTCTCTTCAACATCTTTCTTAATCCTCACAGCTGAATCCTCCAGAGATTTGTTCTTGCAGTGAACCAACTTAATCTGTTTCAGTGTTGGAACATCTGCAAAGCTAATGGGGATTTCCTCGAGGTTATGGCACCATCTTATAACGATTGTTTCAAGCAGGGGAAAGGATTCCTCCGAGACATCCCACCTTGAGATATCTAACTGCACCAGTTTCAACAACTTGAGTTTATGAAACGTGATATCTCCAAGGCACCATTCTGATTGAGGAAAATACATATTTGTTAATTGAAGATACTCCAGGCTTGGTAGTCCAGCAAAGAAGGAAGTTAGGTTTTCTAGATCAGCGTCTCTTAGTACCAACATCTTTAAATTTGAAGGCAATTGTAACCCAGATAGCATGTGGAACAACCTAAAGGAAAGGTCAAGTATTTGAAGCTGGGTAAGATTCTCCAATGTGAGCCAAAGAGGTTCTGCAAAAGATCCAAATTCGATTTGAAGTTGTTGAAGATTAGGACACCTCCTTGATAACACATCCGCCCTATCAATTGGAAATCCAACAATGTTCTTTAATATCCTCAAATTTTCCAATTTAGAGGATCCTTCAAAGAGCCCCTGCTTATCAAATTCAGCATCATTGATCTCAACATGCCTTAATTGTTCCATTTCCCAAAAACACCCTCGTAACATAACTGATCTATCATTCTTCACAATTAAAGTTTCAAGATGGGGCAGATGTGATTCTCGATCAAAATAGAACGTAGTTGCCCTTACTCCGAGGTACTTCAGGTAATTAAGTGGTTTCAGTGTAGCTGAATTCACATAGTCAACTTCATAGGAACTCAAAACCAAGACCTTAAGAAGTCGCAAATTATGAATCCAAGAACTTAAGGACATTATATAAAAAGATGCTCCGTTCGTTATCAGTGACCTCAACGGTTGATGGGAACACTTCCTTGTTTTGGATGCAAACTTGGAATTCTCTTCAATCAAATTGAAGCTCACTCGACTTTGCTTCCAAACAAAAGATTGAAATTGACTATGATTTCCCTTCGCAACCAACATAAAATTTTCTTCTCTACTCTTCTCCAAGCAAAAGTGAAGCACTACATCATGAACCTCACAGTATTTGATCTTGCCATTATATTCTTTCTTTGAAACCATTACCACGTTACTGCTAATGAGATTCATCAAGTAATCTTCAGCAGATTTAATGTTCTGAACGAAGTCTTCCGCTAACCATAAACTTAACAATGCAGACACGTTAATGCTTGCATCCTCCGGAAACATCCCCATATAAAGAAGACAAGGTTTTAAACAATCAGCTAAGTTATCAAAACTCAACTGCATAGTAGCCCGACTATATTGCTCTGAATGACAATCAAGATAGTCAAATAAAGAATCTTTCACCTCATTCCACCAAGATTCTTCCAGTTTCCTTGTTTTGATTATTCCAGCTACCAAGACAATCACTAGAGGCAGTCCCTTGCATTTTTCTGCAACTACTTGACTTACATCTTGTAGTTCAGGCGGACAATCTTCCTTTTGAAAAACTTTTTTCTGCAACAATTTGCAACTCTCTTCTTTTGTGAGGAATGGAAGAGAATAAGGATCAGTATGGAACTTGACTTGTTCGCCCACTTTCTCAAGTCGAGTTGTTACTACTATTCTGCTTCTATTTCCAAAATCTGGAAAGGAAAGCCTTAAGTCATCCCATGCCATACAATCCCACATATCATCCAAGACAATGAGATATCTCTTTCCCATTAAGCTTTTCCTCAACTCATCAGCAAGGATATCATCCTCATATCCCTTGTCCTTGGAACCGGTAACTTGACTCAAAATCTCTTGTAATAGCTTTCTCCGGTTATATGTTTGGGAAACGATGCACCATGCTCGAACATCAAAATGAGAAACAATGTTGTCACTATTGTACACCTTTCTAGCAATTGTGGTTTTCCCTTGTCCCCCCATGCCTACAATTGGGACAACGTCTAGATCATTTGTACCTCTAATCAGACACTGAATTATTTTTTCTTTGTCAATCCCAAAACCCACTATCTCCTCATCAGTAATGGGATTGCTATGACGAGTTGGCAGGTGTTTAAATGGTGCAGCCACATAGTGAGGATTAAGAGGAATGTCCGCTGACCACATCTCGGTTACCTCTGCATTAATTTGCTTGATCTCTTCTACGATTGTTGGAAGTGAGCAAAAACAATGCCAAAAAACATTATATTTAGCACAAATAGAGTCAATGGAAACCCCAGCTTCATATGCCAAATTGATGGTACGTCTTTGAAGATCTTTATGTTCATGGTGCACCTTTGTGACATCTCTGAAAATGGATGATAAAGATGACAACTCCTTCTCTAAATTGGATATAAGAGTTGATTGCTCTTTCTCCAAATTACAGTAAATAGGTTTCATCAGCAAATCTAAACCATATTTAGATCTTGACATCTCATTTAATTTCCTTAAAAGAGAATCCATAAAGGTCAAACCACCAGAGGTAGGGAACTGAGATGGAGTAAATATTAAGGATTTGTAGTACGTCTCTACTTGTGCCTTCAGATCTTTAGTTTTCTCCAATACCTGCATCGAGTAAATGTTTATCTTGCTAGTGTCATCGTCTTTGCTTATTGATCTAGGAAGAAGCTTTTGAATTACGTATAGAACATCACCCGCTATGGTTGCCACGTTTTCCAAGATCTCATTCAACCAGTTTCGACTAATAACATGATTTGAAAGATCAGCATCAAGAAAAAACAACAGAAGCTCTATTGACAGACCAATATTTTGAGCAGACACATTATCAGGAAAGTTCTTGAGCTTTGTGTTTCTGAGATACACCAACAGACTGTTGAGATGATGTGAAAATCCTTTTGGTAATTTCTTGTCCTTGAATGTTTTTGATTGGGTGAACTTTGAAGCCTTTAATTCACTAAGAAAAATCTTCTTCATTTCCTGCTCCACTAACACAATCAACCCTAATAGATAAGGAGGTTTATTCTCAACTATATCAACTATTTCATTGTCATCCTCATCCTCATCCTCATCCTCGAGTACAATAAATACAGTACATAATTGTCCTACATTATCAGCCAAGACCTGAATTCGGGTCTCCAGACCTTCCAACTTCTCATAGTCAATGTAACCATTTATTTCTGTGGCATATAAGTATCTCAAAAATCTCATTTTCTTGTGAATAATTTTTAGTTGCTTTATAAATAGAAACTCTAACCTAGACCGACAAGATGAGTCATCCATAGGCTGTCCCACGAGAATCAGTACATCATTTATATTCTTTACGAGCCAATCCATACATTCTGAGAGATCAAAATCATTCGACTCAGAATTGCAACTTAAACTGGTCGTATTACCTTGAAAGAATTCGAACAAATGTGATACGAGCCTTTCCAGATTAAGGTTAGTTTTACATTCATCTGGAATCCCATCAAATATTCCTTGAAGTGTTTTCACAATCGATTTGGCCTTCTTTGTGAGTTTGACTAATGTATCAGGGAAAATAAAACGATGATAACTTGTAATGGTTCTAAGAAATCTTAGCATTCTTTCAAATTTCTCAACTTTCCCAATCTCGACGCTACTCAGATTACCTCTACTCTCGATCCTTCGCAAGCGATCTAACATTTCCTCAATTTCATTTTGAGCCATCTTCTTTAGAAAAAATCCTGCAAGTTCACCAACTCTTGGAATTAGCTAGGTTCATTGAGAGCGACATTTTTATTCATTGTCTTTCAATATATCTAGTGTTTGAAGCTATGTTAATACTTGTGAAAGATTATACATCTTTTGTACCATTTCATCTTGCAAACAAAGCATATTTTACGCTTTTCATATGATCACTCAACTAATAGTTATTATCTAAGAAAACTATCGATTCCAATTTTCTTCAATAAAGAAAAATGATTTTTTGAGCTGTTAGTTGAGTGAACCATTTGAAAAATCAAAGGGGAAAAGATTATTCAAGAAGAAGATGACTTACAGATATTATGTCATAAAAAGTAGCCGGATGTATTAATTTTAAACTTGAATGACCTTATGAATGAAATGAAAAAAAAAACTAGGTGACTTATGATCATATTAAAGGCTTTAATTTAATATTACAAGAATCAAGTCTTTATTTCTTATACTTCATATCTAATCAAACTAAGACACTTAAATTGGGAAGAGAAAGTATATATATAGATCCATCAAGTATGAAAATAAATAATGAATGAATGAAACTTACCACAATCTTTAACTTATCAAATCTTTTGTTATTCCTCAATAACTCAGTGATATAATGGTCTATTGTTAACTGATTGATCGTAGATCCAAATCCTATGTGGTACGAGGTGTTATCTGGTACATAAAGATGGCAATGGCTCAAACATACTGGAATGTGTACTGTATGAGTTCTGAATTAGTGCGTTATTAATCTATTAATTAATGGTAGGTAAACAATAATTGGTTCTTTATTAATTAATAATAAAATAATGATAGTGCTTCATTCCTATTGATTGCTTTAGTAAAAACGTCAACTTTATCCCTCGTCTTTAAGAATAATGTCTAATTATTCCATGATATATCATATATTATTATAAGCATGAAGCTCTCAACTTAAAAGTTGAATTATTATTTTATTTTTATTTTATTTCTAATCTAAATAAATATTAATATATAATTAATTTAATATTAGATAATATTTTTTATTTAAATTCATGCCTCTAGATACAATGATTTAAATTCTTTTGGGAAATAGTTACAAGAAGATGAAAGACCAAAAGTTATATTTTTCTTAATAAATGTGTATATCAATTCTTCTTTATCAAAATCAATTTAATTTTGGCTTGAGACTGTGTTAGTGATTATTTCTTTATCATCTTTTGTTGTTAATAGAGAAAAGATATACAAGAAGTAGTATAGATACTAAAGGTAATTTCATTCGTATTGAATTTTTATGTTTTTTCTTTTTTATTATTTTATTTATTTAATCTTGATTTTGTTTATTGTATTTTAATATGTTTTGTTTAAGTTTTTGATCTTGTTTCCATCAAATTGTGCTAAGAATCTGTAATACAATTTGTTAATTTTGTGTGATCTTTTTAGTGTTATTTGCTTTTGATTCTTCTTTCTTAATATTAGATTTTGATGTATTCTTTGAATATCAACTTTTTTTTTTTTTGGTTTTATGGTATTTGATATGCTTAGCCTCATTATGGTTTCAATCTAGTCTAGAAGAGGTTTACACAGTTATTATTTTTTTTGTGTGTGGTCTTGTTAATATGTTGTATCATTGAATGTTTCTTTATATTTATTTTTTGACTATTTTTAGTAATTTTGAAATGTATTCTCGAGGTATTGCTCAATTTTATACGTTATGTGATAGTTTTCTATTTTTTATCTTGGGATTTCAATTTTTGTTGGTTCTTTGACGAACTTTTTCATCCTTTAAGAAATGTAGTTATTACTGTCAACACATAGTATAGGATCATAGAGACATTAACTTTCAAAAAGTCATCGTAGTAATGCCACTTTTATGGTAACAATTAAAATAATATGATTGAACCTCACTTTTATGGTACCAATTAAATTGAAAAGTCATGCATATATATAATACAAGTGTATGTAATACAAATGACCGGTGAATAAATATATGGTTCTCATATCTATATTTGATAATAGGGTAATATTACTTGACGTTTCAATTAATTCAGAAAATTTGAAGTATACATGTCACCCTTCATTGTTTCAAGTTTATGATTATTTTTATAAAAAATCTTCTTTATGCCTTATTTATATATTTTATACTTGTGTCATTTTAAAAAAAAAATATTAATTAATAGGATACACGTGCATTGCACGTGCGCAAAGACTAGTTATTTAAAAAAGACCCATGCGGATGTAGTCTTTTTTAAAAAAAAACAAAAAGAAAGTCATAATATCAAATGTGTGACAATAATCATAGAGGGCAGATCAGAAAAAGGGATTGACAAGCATTTAAATTGATAAACATTTTAGTGGAATTGACACATCGGTATAGCTAGGGCAGAACCAGCATACATTCAAGGGTTCATTCAAATCTCCTTCAACAGAAAATAGTATACATGGCTAAAATTTTATTTTATGTTCGATTAGTTCGTGTCTTTACTTCTTCAGATTTTGAACTCCTTGTTAAAAATCGTAGCTCCGCCACTGGATATAGCCCAAACAGGAGAGGAACGTGAAAAGAAAACTCAAATTTTGCATAAAAAAATATTTAGACCTTTGTCAAATAAATCAAATTCTGCTTTCACACCCTAGAGTATCGAATTCTAAATATATTCATGTAAATACATATGGTTTTATATTTTGTTACTTATACCAGTAGAGAGTTCATGCCATACATGGGGAAGAAGGGAAAATTGATTTTACAAATAAAAGTTTACAAATTCATTTGGATAGGCGATATGAAATCATGCCGTACATACACTTTGATGAATGAGCAAACCATCATTCATGTTACTTTTATTAAAAAAGAAATGTTTGTGATTAAAATTTTTCAATAGGTGCCACAAATTACAATAATTCAACAATAACAAACTTCAAAATTTTGAGTGCACAGCAAAAGTATCATGTCAATGAGCTTATATCTAAGACACTATCAAAACCTTTGAGTTTTTAATGCTGCGAAAATTTGTGAACTTGAGAGAGAGCTTCTTGCCTTGTTATTCCCCGGCCACTCTGTCTGTGATTTTGCTGCAATTTTGAAATCAACATGGAGCAATTAAGCAAAAGCAAGCGTCAAATTAGAAGAAGGAATATATAGCATTGTTGTGATTACAGGCACGTACATGTTTCATCTCGAATTATATTCCCTACCATCCCTGTATTATACATAGTGGTGTCAAGTTAGTTAGATACTCAAAAAAACAGAACATATTTAGGAGTTTGTTTCTACTTACTTTGATAATGAGGTCAATACGGTCGTTTCCTTCATTCTCTTCAACGTCTTTCTTAATCTCCACAGCTGAATCCTTGAGAGATTCGTTCTCGCACCTAATCAACTTAATCTGCTTCAGTGTTGGAATATCAGCAAAGCTAAGGGGGATCTCCTTGAGGTGGTTACACCTTTTTATAACAAGTGTTTCGAGCTGGGGAAACGATTCCTCTGAGGCATCCCACCTTGAGATCGGTAAGTTCACCAGTTTCAACAACTTAAGTTTAGGGAACGTGATACCTCCAAGGCACCAATCTCTGATTTGAACAGATTCATAGGGGTCACAAAATTGGAGATACTCCAGGCTTGGTAGTCCTGCAATGAAGGAACTCAGGTTTTCGATATGAGCCCCACTTAGTACCAACTTGTTTAAATTTGAAGGCAATTGTAACCCAGATACAATGTTGGACCTCTCAACAGTTAGGCGAAGATTTTGAAGCTGAGTAAGATTCTCTAATGTGAGACAAAATAAATCTGCCGAATTATTACTGCCCCGATATTCCAAGTTGATGTGCAGTTTTTGAAGATTTGGACACCTCCTTGATAACATATCCACCCTATCCCTTCCATCAATTGGAAATTTTACATACTGTAATATCCTCAAATTTTCCAATTCGGAGGATCCCTGATTATCCTCTTCCAAATCAAATTTAGCATCCCAAATCTTAACATGCCTTAATTTTTCCATCTCCCAAAAAGACGCTGGTAACTCTACTTCATTTTCCCAATTATTTACGATTAAAGTTTCAAGATTGGGCAGATGTGATTCTGGATGAAAGTAAAACTTATTTGCACAAACTGCGAGGTATTTCAGGTGATTTAGAGGTTTGAATGTAGCTGACGACAAATAATCCACTTCATGGGAAGTCAAAATCAAGACCTTAAGAAGTCGCAATTTAAGAATCTGACAGAAGGGAATCCCATCAATTAACTCTAGGTTATTTATCGTTATCAGTGACCTCAAGTGTTGGTGGAAAGACTTCCGTGTTTTGGATCCTAGAGATGCAAACTTGGAAAGCTCTTTACTGAAACTGAAGCTCACTCGGTTTTCCTTCCATTCAAAAGGTTGAAACTGGCTATCATGCCCCTTCACTGCCAACATAAACTTTTCTTCTAGACTCTTCTCCAAGCAAAAGTGAAGCACTACGTCATGAACCTGACAGTATTTGACCTTACCATTATACCTTCTATTTGAAACCATTACCACGTTACTCTGAATGAGATCCATCAAGTAACCTTCAGCTGCCTCTTCCATCAACAATCTCCCAGATTCAATGCTCTGCACAAATCCTTCCGCAATCCATAGACTTATCAATTCAGATACTCGAATTATTGCATCCTCCTGAAACATCCCCATATAAAGAAGACAAGGCTTTAAACAGTCGGTTAAGTTATAGTAACTCAACTGCATAGTTGAAAGACTATATTCTTCCGACTCACGATTAAGGTGGTCAAATAAAGAATCTTTCACCTCATTCCACCAAGATTCTTCCATTTTCCTTTTTTTGATTATTCCAGCTACCAAGACAACCACTAGGGGCAGTCCTTTGCATTTTTCTGCAACTGCTCGACTCACATCTTGTAGTTCAGGCGGGAAATCTTCCTTTTGAAACACTTTTTTCTGCAACAATTCACAACTCTCTTCTTTTGTGAGGAACGGAAGAGAATAAGGATCAGTATGGCACTTGACTTGTTCGCCCACTTTCTCAAGTCGAGTTGTTACTACTATTCTGCTTCTATTTCCGGAATCTGGAAAGGAAAGCCTTAAGTCATCCCATGCCATACAATCCCACATATCATCCAAGACAATGAGATATCTCTTGCCCATTAAGCTTTTCCTCAACTCATCAGCAAGGATATCATCCTCATACCCCTTGTCCTTGGAACCGGTAACTTGACTCAAAATGTCTTGTAATAGCTTTCTCCGGTTATATGTTTGGGAAACGATGCACCATGCTCGAACATCAAAATGAGAAACAATGTTGTCACTATTGTACACCTTTCTAGCAACTGTCGTTTTCCCTTGTCCACCCATGCCTACAATTGGGACAACGTCTAGATCATTTGTACCTCTAATCAGATACTGAAACATTTTTTCTATGTCATTCCCAAAACCCACTATATCCTCATCAGTCACTGGATTGATATGTCGAGTTGGGAAGTATTCAAATGGTGCTACCATATAGCAAGGCTTAAGAGCAATGTCCGCTGACCACATCTGAGTCACCTGCACATTAATTTGCTTGATTTCTTTTAAGATTGTAGGAAGTGAGCAAAAAATATGCCAAAAGACATTATACTGAGCAAGAATAGAGTCAATCGCAACTTCCGCTTCATATGCCCAATTGATAGTACGCCTGTGAAGATCTTGAAGAATTTCATGTTCATGGTGCACCTTGGCGACATCGCTTAAAATGGATGATAAAGATGACAGATCCTTCTCTAAAATGGATGTAAGAGCTGATAGCTCTTTCTCCAAATTCCCCAAAAGAGGTTTCATCAGGAAATCTAAACAAGATTTAGATTTCGACATCTCTTTCAGTTTCCGCATAAGAGAATCCAGAAAGCTCCATCCACCAACAGTGGGGAATTGCGATGGAGTGAATTTTAAGGATTTATAGTGCGTCTCCACTTGTGCCTTCAGATCTTTAGTTTTCTCCCATATCTGTATTGAGCAAAGACTTATTTTGCTATTGTCATCTTTTTTTATAGAGCTAGGAAGAAGCTTTTGAATTACATATAGAACATCACCCGCTATAGCTCCAACCTTTTCCATAACTTCATTCAACCAGTTACCATTAATTACATGATTTCCGACATCAGCATCAAGGAAAACCAACAAGAACTCTATTGCTATATCAATATTTTGAGGAGAGTTATTATTAGGAAATTTCTCAAGCTTTTTGTTTCTAAGATACATCAACAGACTATGGAGATGATGAGAAAATCCTTTTGGTAATTTCTTGTCCTTGAAAGTTCTTGATTGAGTAAACTTGGAAGCCTTTAGTTCACCGAGAAAAATTTTCTTCATTTCCAGCTCTACTAAGATAATCAAGAATAATAAATAAGGAGGTTTATTCAAGATATCATCCCCATCCCCATCCCCATCCCCATCCTCATCCTCATCATCATCATCATCATCATCATCATCATCATCATCATCATCATCATCATCATCATCTACAAAATTAGAAATATCGTAACCTAAAATAGCAAGACAAAGTTGTCCCACATTGTAAGCCATAAAATGCATTCGAGTGTCCAAACATTCCAACTTCTCTTGGTTGACGTAACCATTTATCTCTATAACATATAAGTATCTCAAAAATCTCATTTTCTTTTGAACAATTTTTAATTGCTTTATAAATCTGTGGATTTCGAGGTTTTCTCCTGGAGGGTCATACCTAGCCCTTTGCAGTAAAATCATCAGTACATCATTTAGATTCTTTCCAACACAATCCATATATTTCGACAGATCAGAATCATTCAACTCATGGTTGTAACTTAAACTGATTTTACCTTCAAAGAATTCCAACAAATGTAATTCTAACCTTCTTAAATTAAGGTTAGTTTTACATTCATCCGGAATTCCATCCAATACCCACTGAACCATTTTCGCAATCCATTTGTCCTTCTTTTTGAGTTTGACGATGGAATCAGGCAAAAGAACATGATGATACTTGAACACCATTTCAAGTTTCTCAATTCGATTGATCTTGACCCTATCCAGATTACCTCCACTCTTGATCCTTCTCAGGTGATCTAACATATCTTCAATTTCATTTTGAGCCATCTTCCGTACAAGACTTCCTGCAAGTGTACCAACTCTTGGAATTAGTTTCTTTAAGAGCGACATTTTTATTCATCTAGTCTTTTGAAAGATTATACATCTTATGCACCATTTCATCTAACAAATTTTGCATAGTTAAACCTTTTTTATATGATCTCAGACTTTTTTTCTTGATTTCAGTTTTCGTCAACAAAGAAACTGGCTTCCTAATATAATAACACTATTAATTTTGTATCAATAGGAAAAAGTAATTCATGAAGAAGATGACTTACAGTTAGTTAACTTTTGTCTTCTCTTATGCCTGTTTATTATCTTCAATTTTCTGATTCATCAATCATAAATAAAATTGAAAGCTGACTTCATCAAGAGAAGAAACAAACATTATGGGGTAAAAATGAGAGTCATAGTTCTCAGATTCGGATTTCAACAAAGATATATTTTCCGAGTTCACGTATTAGGAGAAGTTAGAGAAAAGGTTTAATGAAATGAAATGGATGAAGGTTTGAATGTTTGAAGGAAGAAGGAAGAGCTCCCTCTCTCTCTCTCTCTCTAATAATTCTTACAAGAGATGAATTGCAGTAGCAAGTTGCCTTTGGTGGTATCTGTAAAGTGGCTCAATAATACAACCATATTATTTGTCTTTTTCTCAAGGAAAATACACTCACAAAATCCCTCGAACAATGAACTTTTATTCAGCCTGATTCATTTTGCTCATCTTTCACACTTGATTAACAGGACAAGTGCGATATAAAAATTACAAATGTAGGGCCCCATTTGGATAATGCGATATAAATTCTTATTGATATGAAGTTGAAATTTTGATTGTATATGCAAAATATAGATCACATTGATATCAAAAGTTACTCAATTCTTATGCAATATTACTGAATGAGCAAATCATCATTCATGAGCAAAATATTAAAATATCCTAAAGTGCCGCATTGATAAATCACATTTATTCATGATATACACAAGTAAGAAGGGAAAAATAGATTTTATGGCTCAATACAAACGTTATATTAATTAAATGACTTGTTTCACAGAAAATGAACAGTTCGATAAATAAAACACATGAAATCCTTGTAGAGTAGAGTTGGATTTCAAATTGTAAATGGTTGTTTCCCAAGAAGAACATAAAAATGAAATAGAGAAAGTAGTTGTACAACATCATCAATTAGCTTTTATGATCTTCAAGCAAAATAAACTCAAAAATAAATTAAAAATGTAAATGTTAGATGAAAAAAGAAAACTAGAAATAATCCAAAACAATCATATACGTAGTCTTCTAACTGGAAAAGGGAAAAGAAAAAAAAACAAAGAGAGTTCACTTTTTAGCTTTAAAAAACTAGTATGAAATTTACTTCCATATGTACAAATTTGAGTTTCTAAGAAGCAAAATAATGGTGACAAAAATCCTTTTAAGTCAATCTTCAGCTAAAGTGCTTCCTCCCATTTTGTTATTGACTTGATTTCCTACATCCACATTTGCAGTTTTCAAGTTCTGTATTCAGATTCTGCATAAGAATAAGAAAACGTGAAAATTATATTTCGACTATTTCAATCACACAGCTATAAAGGTGGGGCTAGAAAATTTATCATTTTTTATTTGCAAAACATATTAGACATCATCTATCCCAAATACATTAAGGTTAAATTGTTCGGTTTGGTGTAAACTCATGTGAGAATACAAGATATGTTGCTCGGGCCAAAATTGTTGTACTAATAGCTTTTGGAGGATCTAATCCAACACACTGGCTGTTTCTTTGAAGAGTGTAAGGAACATAGAGTATAAGTAATTTAGGTAAAGCTGCAAAGCAGTAAGGTTGATCATTTTGATCACTCACCTGAACCTGATCTTGAAGGGTTCGAATATGCTGCACTGCTAGATCCAGCATGTCAGCATAGCTCGTTTGCTGCGAAAACAAACAAGAAAATGTTGTTAATATTGGAGTGTAGCTCGTTTGCTGCGACAAAATTTACAGCTAAAACATGTTCCAATAAGCTCCAATTGAGAAAATATTGTGGAGTGGAAGCAAACTATACCTTGTCCATGTTTGGAACAAGATCTTGTAACTTCTTTAGTTTCCCACTAATTCTGGTTCTTCTCTCCTGCATAAGATGAGAAAAGAATACAACGTTCATTATTGTGTATTAGTAAAAGCAAAACATAGCTATGATGATCCAAATTTTGAGGAAAAGTATTTCAAATGCCACAACTACTACATGTTGACAATTAAATCTATTGTTACATAATAGCAAAGTTGGCATTTAAAATCAGTGGCTGGAAGAGTTTCATCAGCTTCAGATAGTATCTTGAAATTCATTCTCAATCGAAGCCATATCAAATGAAATGAAGCAGGGGAAAAATAAATTGATAAAGTTCAATTGGATTTTTATTTTTTTGTTCATTATAAGGGCCAAGTAAAGGAATGGCTTAAGAAATATGAAGATCACCCTTTCTGCAATGCTGCGAGGATGAGTAGCACAACCACGCTTGGCACGAATTTTGCAAGGAACAGAATCCTCGGGGATGTGCAGCAATCTATCCATAGATGCTATTTCTAGAGCTGTCTGAGACAAGCCAAACTGAAACTGAAAATGGTTCAAAAATCGAAAAACATCAGTTCATCCTCCCACAAGTAATAAAAATGCAGTTTTCATCAATTTTTGTGTGAGTTACACACGAGAAACATGATTGAGTATGCCAACATGGATTATTTTGTCTATTTTATTTTACATACTTCTGCAGAAAGAAAAGAAACACATACACAGAATGTAGTTGTAAGGTTGTTAAGGGGAAAAATGTAAAGGAAGTATATCTATCGCCGTTTACATGTTGAAAACACAGATGTCAAACGGTGAAGGTTTATGTGTTTTCTGATAGTGACCTTCAAGTTCATATTAGCTGGAAGAAAGAAGAAAGGTAGGGAATTAGAGACAAAAGAATGCAAGCAAAAACCAAATCATCAACTTTTTGAAAGATTTCAAATAGCGTGTTGAAGGAGAAAAAACAGATTTTGAATCAGTTGTAAGATCACCAAATCAAAGCACATGACATTTTTTCATCTAGAAGGCTAACATCATTAAAATTACATCTCACTTTTCACATAAATATTGTTAACGTTAGGCATATCACATGCACAACTCTAGAATTCAGGATAAAGAAAACATGACCCTTAAACACTCAACTAAAAATACAATTTTATCAGAGAAACATACTTTCACAAAGTTACAGTTATATTACCTGAGTTTCCCCGTCATCGAGCCCATTGACAATGTCATTGCTAATCTGCTTGGATCGTTTGCTAGGTGTGACAGAGAACATTATAGAGTTGTTATCTTCCCAAGAACCCATCGCGAAACTACTTGCACTGGCATAAGAATGTGTTGACTTTCTGTGGCCATTGGCTATACTGGTCCCTTCAATATCCTCATTTTCCTCTGCTATTTGAGAAAGAGCTTCTTGCGTTGTGAAGCTGAGCTGAGAGTTCAGCCTTGTTATTCCCCGGCCACTATCTCCACCGCCTTTTGGGTTATAGCTTCCTCTCCCCATTGAAACTGAAAATCCTAACGTCAAGTCAAACTTGAATTATACTACAAGTTATGGTAACGAGTTCTTTTTACCAAATTAAAACCTTTACAACATATTAGATATGAATCTTTTCGTGAGTTTGATTCAAAAATGTCATCTCAAAAGCTGATAGTTCTGGTGTGACCCTTGTAGTCTCCATGGAAAAGTATTTGGTCTCTTTTGGCTCTATATATTAAGGTCTTCTTTGACAAAATTAAAGTATATTACAGACATAACATAAAAGAGATCCTCTTTTCCACATCAAATTGTTAGACTTCCATTTGATATCTAATTTGAAGTCTTTGTTTGACAAGGTATGAATATTACTACTCAAACTAAAGATAAAACCAACGAAAATAAGATACACACACCTTATCCTACCTTGTGGGGTAGAGAGATTGTTTTCGATAGACCCTCAACTCAAAACTAACTGATCTACTAAAGCTCCATTTCATGGGATATATGAGGGAAAATATCACCTAGTGTTTTCTCTTTGTTAGGAACTGAACCTAGGACCTTATAATGCTTAAACCTCCTTCGTTAACCACTAGACAAAACAAAATATGAATAGTAAATGAGAAAGTCCTTGATTTAAAAATTTTTTAAAATAAGTCATCATTTAAATTTAATCACTATTTTCACAAGTTGTGAAAATATAAGCCTTTGAAACTAACAAAACATTGAAGTTTGTTTATTGTCTACAAAATTTAAGATCATAATCAAAGCATTTCTTATATGAAGAATCATAAATTACACCAACAAATAAAAACAGGATCATCTGCTAACAGTCGACTGTAAAACTTTCAGAAAATATCTTAGAACTAGTAAAGCACTCAAAAACATTGGGCTGGTTTTAGGTGGCGGCTAAGATAATAATAATAATAATAATGGATAGAGCAAGTGGGAATAAACGGGTCAAGTAAATACCCATGCACGTGATAACTGACCAGTCATGGAATTTTAGGAGCTGTTTGGTGAATGCATCTTGACCTCAAAATAAGTAAAAAATGGATTCAAAGAATCGTAGGCACAATCACCATCAATTAAATAAAGGGACAAAACTCCTTCCCTTTCCTTTATTCATTATTTTATTGGCTAGTTGCTACTTTTACTAGAATTTTATATTTTATATAATGTCAACTTGCTATATTTGAAAGTTTGGACCCCACAAAAGAAATGCTCACTTCCTCCAATAAGGAGCTTCTTACTAAGATTATGATTAAGGAAACAACAAAATAATACTCTAATATCTATATTGCTCATTGGGCCCAAGTGACAACTTGTTCTATAAAATCAATTAATAATTCCAAAACTTATATCTCTACTCGTATAATTTACAGAGACCACAAAATACTTTTTGGCCCCTGAAAGTTTTTCAATTCTTTCTATTACATTACTACATAATTATACAATATTCTGTTTCAAATATTTTTTGACAATCTTACTTCAAATAATTTTTTCTTAGCCTAAAGTTTCATCACCTAGTAAAGAAGTACATATTGTCCTCCCTATATTCTATTTGTGATATTATACATATATGTTATCGTAATTATTCATGGAATAAATTTTTTAATAAAAATGATACCATATAAAATGAAATAAAATGAATAATAAGTCCCAAGTTGTGCTCGTTTAATTAATTAATTTATTTATTGTTTTATTTGGGTTGAAGAAAAGAAAACTACAACATAACTAATGGAATAGACTCAGTGCTCAAAGAAGCACACTCCAACCTCTCATATATCAATTACCATAAGTAGAAAAAATGAATAAAGGAACCGCAACACAACTTTATTGACCCATTCAAGTTTGTGTGACATAATGATCATGACTTAGTTCATACACACATTAACTTAAGAAACTAATACAACGATTAAAGGTCTAATAGTAGACCTAAACCTAACGTAGAGTAGATTATAATTATTTTAAAAAATTAATAGAGAATAAATTGCCTTTTTTCGAGGTCAAAGCATCCACATTGTATGTCCTATTCCAAATCAATATATCTTATTGGCAAAAAATCATAGATTAAACCACCCTTTTAGTTGAAAGGAGAATTTATTTCTATACCGATCGGACATTTCAAAAATATAGAAAATTGCATGTCAGGTCTTTTAAAATAGTGCATTTTAAATGAATCGTAATAACAAATTAAAAAAGTCTAACCAACTTAGATGATCAAAATGAGTTGTAGAGTTTCTGATAGTTGACAATAAAAGCATAGCCTTTCAGTCTCCCCACCTCATATCAAATTAATTTACAAAAGTAGTATCATTCTTTCTCCCTTCCCTGCTTCTAAGGATCTAGGCACCATTAATTATATTAATACAAAGGTCAAATATTTTTTTATTAAAATCGAAAAACAACAAGGATCAGTGATGCATGATTCACAGTTCAATGGATAATGAATTCATCTTTCTGATCTTCTCCATTTTGAATATCACACGTTATACTTTTACCATTAAGATCAAATCCCTTACCTCTTAGACTAAAAAGAAATAAAATTTGACTTTTATATAATTAACTACATATACGTAATTAATTAGATACATGCAAGTTGGTTTAAATATAATAGTTATAAAAAACTAAAAGTAACAAATTTGTTTAATATATTAACTTATAACTTCTTTAAATTTTCTCACCATTACGGTATATTATTGTTTATAAGCTCAGCAGTGTCAAATTGCACAAGTTGCATCTAACTCCGTTCAACCCCCACCCCAAATCCTATCTCCAGAAACATTTTTTTTTTAAAAAAAATATTAATTAGTGCTAATGAGATTCTATCTTAAAGAAGGATCCACCATCTAATGAGTAATTAATTAATACCAGTGGTTTCATTGGCCAAATGTTGTGGGCGATTGGAAACTTAGCAGACACACATGCATTCACCTTCACCAAATGTGGAACCCACCTTTACATGTCACTAAGAGTTGAGACAGGATTTAGACCTACCAATTAGCTCCACTAATCACCTAATTTGCCCTATTGATGGATAAGTTATTTTTAAAAGAGAGCAAATAATAATTTGCGGCTGCTTACGTTATATACCTTCTAATTTAGGAAACTAATTCCATTTATTTTAAGCTAACCCAAGATTGTTCCCCTCTACTTTTTATATTAATTAACAATAAGCGGAATTAAGATTTAGAGTATATAACTTTTGAATTCTAAATCATTAAGTTGGTTGTAAAACAAGAATTTATTTATGTTAAATGAATTTCTCGAAATAAATATATAATTTTAGCTAAATGTATCAAATTTTTTTTATATGCTTCAAAATAATGACACATTTTTAATCTGAAGTTTTTAATGTATACACATCTTATAAAAGTTACATATATGTTTTGGGATGTTACAGACCAAAACTTGTAGACGTATGTACTTTTTTTTCTAAAGTTTGTACAAAATCAAATTATGACACATAAATTGAAACGAAAGGATTAACAAATCATTTCTTGTATTTCTAAAATGGATACTAATATTTATAAATAATTTCAACTTGTCAAACGATTGATAATTGGGACTAGAGGGAGTATAAACCTTGAATTACACGATGTATTCAATTACAAACATGAACTACAGAAGTCTATCTAACATACTTGTCAAGATTGGAAAGTATAAATTTGGAAATGGTAGAAGGTAGATAGATAAAAGATGAAACTGTTTTTAGTGATTTGATTTCTACAAAATAGACATAAAATATATGTACATTCTGTACTTTCGAGACTTCTGTTATAAGATTATATTAAGTATGTTATTGTTATTATCTTAGACAGATAAAAAGAGCAGACACAAAAATACACTCACCATAGGAAAAGTAGAATTAGCTAAACTTTTGTTGATATGATATATTTTCTGTGTTCCATTTTATGTGAGATGATTCAATAATTGATGGACATATATCTTTTTAAAAAGAAATTACATATTTAAAATTGCTTAAAATGTAATATAAATTTAATAATTCATAGTTCAAAATTTTTATAGAATTCCTTTTAGCTCACCATTTTAGTAACTGCATGAAGTGGGACAAATGAAGTAGTACTTCTTTTTTAAGATTAGAAGTTAAAAGTACTAATCATATGGAGGGAAAGAAAAAATGAGTTTGCAAGTTGTAAGGAGGTATTAAAGATTCTTCGAGTACTAAGTATATCCTTAAACATGTACATAACTCTTTTAATCTTTTGGTAAATTTTTTTTAGCAACTTGTTATATGTAATTAGATAAGACAAACTCAATTACTCTTAGCATATTTCCCCACTTACTCTATATGTGTCCTTTTTTGAGTAATTATTTATGTTTAAGTGCTCAACTAGTCAGTTTATAACGTCTAATTGTGACATAAGTAAATCTTACTTTTGTACTGTAATCTCATGACAATTCATTTAGAAGTTAATGAAGTCCAATGAGATGATTAATATAAGTTAATCCTCCATTAATTGGTTCTATCTGCAAGAAACCTACTTTCTCATTTCATCGGTAGCTAATTACACTTTCTTTAAAAGGTAACTCAACGCATTAATTAAGCTTCTGCTGTGTCTGGGGTTTGGAAAAAAAACAGATCACAAGAGCTTATTGTTCGTAATTCAATTTAACATTTTTGTAAGAAATTATTTTTACGATTTAAATAGCTATAAAATTATTCTAACATGTTTAACTATAAAAATATTATTTCTTTCTTAAATTTTGTGTCGAAATTAACTTTGTCATGTGGACAAAATGTAACCAGGGAATACTTTAAAATGTAAAATGCATTTCAAAGTTTGTTAATTTATGCAAAGTTAGTTGTGATTAGTCAATTAGCAAAGTCTACTCTGATTGGTTAAAAAAGTTACCAAATGCTGATGACTTTAGCAGGAAAAAAAAAAAAGCAAACAGAAAGGAATCATATACAGGAAGGTTAAATTCGTCATTTGACATATCAATTAGGAAAAAAAGGGAAGTTGAAAACTTACCAGTATCACCTGCAGCAGTAGCAAGTTGATTAAGGAACCTCGCCGGTGAGCTACTATGTCGAACCAACGGCGTCGTTGAAGTCGTCGGCAAAACTCCTCCTCCAGCGCCGCTTCCGCCGCCGATTGTTAAGTCATTGAAACCAATTGACCTCTGTAAATTCGATTGTTCCTTCGCTTTACTTGTAGATTCGGAATTTAACGAAGTAGATGCTAGATTGGACTGAAAAAACCGTGAAGGACCAAGGTGTGAGTGATGAGATCCGTGAGAAGCGAACTCGTGATTACCGTTAACGACGGCTTCAACTGCTGTAGTTAAAAATGATCCCGGAGCTGAACCGTAGCGAGTGAGACCACCGCCGGCGCCGCCAGCGGTGGTGCTGGTGTGGCTCATTGAACCTTGTGATGAAGAAGATGTTGATGATGGATACATTTGATAATTTGTTCGAATTGGATTGTTAAGATTTGGAGGTTGAGAAGTTAATAGAGAGAGAGGTGGGTGGGTGGGGTGAGGGAAGAGAGCAAGTTGGGAATTAAAAAAATGAAAAAGTGCTACACTTGTTTTATGAAAAGTCTTGTGAGAAAGAGAGTGGATCAGCCAATGGGGTTCTGCTGTTTTTGTGATTTTGTCTTTACATTTTTTCTTTAATAGAAAATTAATATACAATGTGTACTACATCCTATCCTACTAAAGTATAAATTAATTTCTTTCAATTTACGTGACACATTATCGTTATTATTTATATTGTGAGTTATGTCATTATTTATATTGTGAGTTATTAATTTTATCTAAAGTGTAAGTTTAATAACGTAATTCATGAAAAATGACGCATGAATTATTTTAAAGAGAGAAAATTTTAAATATTTTGAATTCATAATTCAAGAGAACAAGGATATAAATTACGATGTGGTATGTTTGTGTGATAAGAATATGTAGTAGAGTTTTAAAGGCAAGTGAAATAATAGTGATTAGATCGATATTGTTTTATTGAAAAGAGGGGCTAGCTAGTCAAGAATATACCCACGTTTAGAAGAGCAGTCGTGTGGGCATACTATGAGGAATATGATCAGTTATAAAGTTAAGCAGATGTGTGGGCATACTATGAGGCATATGAAAATAAAGTTATACGGGGAAAATATGTGGGTGGCTTTTGCAACAATAAACAAAATGAGAAAAATGATGAGGTTGATATGATTCGAACATGTGAAGATGGAGTGTGCAAATATGTCGGGTAGGTGGTATGAGAAGTTGATTATGTATAGAAGGAGTTAGTGGATGTAAAAGTAGGTTGAAAATGAAATAAAGGGAGTGATCATAGCTAGTATCAAGATACGAAAATTTGGAGATCGAGGATTAAAGTAGAAAGTGGGTAGATATCCAGGTATTACTGTACTATATATAGGGGTATACAAGTCAAATCAAACGACGAACCAAATCAATTCGAAAAAAACGATTTGTGGTTTGGTTTGGCGTGAAAAAAAAATCGACCACTCTTGATTTGGTTTGCTATTCGAAGAAAAAAAGTCAAATCGAACCCAAACCAAACCGACATAATATAAATATACAATTTTGTTTTATTTATAAATAAAAAATATTATTTATAATCTACTTTGCTAATATATTTTTAGTTAGTTTATAGTTTTCAATGTTTATATATACTTATTTAAATTTGAGCTTGTAAAACTTTGTAAATATTTTATTTTGTAGTAAGATCAGAAGTTAAAATAATATTGTTATAGATTTTCAAATTCGAAGTTAACAATTTACTTTGTAAATATTTCGTTTTGTATTCACTTTGATTGTCGCCTTTGATCTTTATTAATTTTACATATCAAACCTTGATATTTCAAAAACAAAAATATTTTGTACTCGTGTAAATTTTACATCTTTTCGATGACATCTTTTAAGTTTAGCTTATCACACAGATAACTGAGAATATATTGGATCACTTTTTCAAACACCGTATAATTGTAAAAAATCAAAAAATCAAAAGAACCGACTAAAGTCAAAACTGAAAAAACTTGACTTTATGTGGTTTGATTTGATTTTTAGATTTAATAGAATTGGTTTAGATTATTATTAATGAAAAACCAAACCGGCCCATGTACACCCCTAACTATATGTACGGGAGAGGTGGGGTCAGTCTTCTCGTTCCCAATTCTCGTTTTCAGTAATAGTATTAATAATCATGTAGTTTCTTATTCTTTTATGTGTTTATACTATCGATTTTTTATTATTCAGTTGTCATATTTTCTTGTCATTCTGCTTTAATCATAATAATCATTCTATAATAACGAAGGTCTGTTCATACAATCTATTCTCCACAGACACATACTTTGCCTAATTAACCGGCCCCTTCCTCTTCTACATTGGTTTCGTTTGGCGGGTCCTCACCGGGTCGATCCGAAAAGGTGCAGGCCTGACCCGGCCTCAATCCATATTGTTCAACTTGCTGCTCAATGTGGTGTGCCAAAGCAATGCATGTGAAGCAACACTATATGTAGTACACTGTACTAGCAATTGCACGTATATATACTCAAGTCACGAGAAGTTTGTTTGTATTCCTCAAGGATCATTATAGAAAATAGTATTATAGTAATTATTTTTCATTAGTGATTTAAATACTTATAAAACATATAAAAAGATAGTGATTAAGAAAATTGTTTAGCATTTAAAGTTTGAAAAATATCTCATAAATTAATACAAAGAGAGTACTGTACTGCAAGTAGGTTAATAAGTCTGCATGCATATTGCTACTTTACAAAGAGGCAAGTCTATATATTAAATTAAAAGGAGTAAATAAAGCTAATTTAGTCAAATAATCCTTTCATTAATATTTATATACAAATAAAATGGAGTAGAGAAAGTATAACCTTTGTAATTTAAGAAATATTCCATTTAATATAAGTAATATAAAGTCCCTAAACTATTTTTCATAATTAAAAGAATCATCAATATTTGTAAATTTTAGGATTCTGCCAATAATAATTATATATGACAATTTGTTATTTCCTTGATAAATAATTAGAAGATTAATTATCTTTTTTCTTTTTCATATTGAATAATTCTTTCTTTTTCATGTTCATATGCACTTTTCCTAGAACATAGTATGTCTTTTTTTTTTAAATTTAATTTAACATATTATGTCCTGTGTATTATATTATATTTGTATGGATCATGTCAAGTATTTTTATTATTATTATACGTATTGACATTTCCTAGTGTGAAAATTATTTTTTTCTGATAAATTATTTATTGGTCTATCTCAAAAAGTCTTATGCCTACCTTATTTGAACACTAACATTTTTTTTTATACATAAACTTGAACACTATAGTTTATAGTTTAGAAAAAAGTATACTCGAGAAAGTGATCATATGCTAACTTTATTTGAAGTTTTGAACCTTAAATACTCAATTACCAAACCTAAACAGGCCAAACATACCCTTATTCTCATAAATATACCCACAGAGATTAGAAAAGAAGAAAAAAAAAATTAATTGCTTATCTTAGAAACTTACTAATTCTACCTATATTATTGGTAAAAAAGAATATCTTTCATTTAAATCTTCTTGTTCATTTTTTAAAAAAAATAGCATATTCTATATTAAAATTGACAATTAATGACCTAGACCGCTATATGTAAGTATAAACCATTCTTTTATATGAACCTCAGTTCAATGACTAAACGATTTAAAATTTTAAAAATCAAATCAACCAAGTTGTACCCTTACATATATATTTTTTTTTTTGGAGTGTCTGTCTGTTATCACAATTTTCTAACTCTTACATCAATTGAATAACTTTATTGTACAAATATTGGTTCTAAATTACACAAATTTCAACCCTTTCCCCACTATTTTCTCTTAATAATAATTTATTTCAACTCTCACATCGATTCAACAACTAGATGCATGTATATGACCTAATTAAGTGTACTTAAAATTGCACAAGTTGCACCCTTTTCCCTTTGAGAATATGACGACTATAATTGGAAGGTTATAATATTTTTAATAAAAGAAGGTGTTAATTTTTTTATTTTTTTATTCCCACCTCGAATGAATAGATGGAGGATAGGCAAACTAGGGTTCAATTATATTAATTTACAAGTTGCTTATAACTTCCTCCCTTTTTCCTACATAATTACAAAAGAAATCAATCTTTTATATATAAAAAGTTCATATTTAAGATTATATATTAGGTTAAAACGATGGATACTATACCCACATAATTAATTAATGCGATTGCTTTTGATTAATATGTGATGTTAGAAGCGAGCAGAACTTTTAATTTATGGGTTTTGAATTAAAGAAATACGACTTCGTCAAGTTATAATAATAATATGAATATATATTTAATGAATTTCTTCACACAAATATATCTATTATACAAAATAGATTGGGTTCTTTTGAATCCGTAATTAAACTTCTAGCTCGATCCCTAAAAGTAAGTAAAGATCAATTGAGTTTCACATAAAAAAGAAGAGCAAAGGGACAAAACACATCTATTAGTATTTTGATTTTTTTCAAATTTTATAATTGAACTATCATGTGTTCGAATTAAACTATCATCAATTATTCATTAAAACAAGCCATAACTATCATTTGCTTCAGAAAGATGATGATACTTCAATAGAAAAGAGATTCAAGTGATAATAGTTCAAATAGAAAACTAACATACATAATTAGTTCAGATATAAAATTCAAAAGATTGACATACTTTAAATCATATCTTTTTCATATAAACTCAAAAAATAAGAATTACATTTCAAAAGCTTGTTATTAATTTATCATATAGTTTTAATTGGTCAATAAGTAAAGTTTCATTGGTCACTAAAAGTCTACGAAAAGCTAAAAGCTTTTGCAGGGAAAAAATCAAACAAAGGGAATGGAATCAAAGGCCAAACAGGTTCTTAATATATATGGACCAGCTCTTTATTCATTCAGTGGGCAATAAACTGGAGAGTTTTGACAATTTATGTCACTTGGGTACCAAGCTGACATAATTTATTCATGTTCGATATTCATATATTTTATTACAAGAATCCTTAATTAAAGGAATAATATGCATAAGATCAAGAAGTATCAATTGACGTTGAACTAATATTTAATATGAGCTAATTTTTCATGTTCAATCTGCTTTTTGGGAAATCTTTGATATGATTTTTTACTTATTCAGATAATTTAAAGTTTCTATCGATTATATAAATATATATATGTATAAAAGTAGTACCTAAAAACAAGATAAAATTCTAGTAAGTTGATTTTTTGTATTGATCCAATTCTTGTTGAAGTATTTGAATTTGTTTATCTTTCTCAACAACACTATCCATCAATCTTTTATTTTCTTCTTTCAATTCTTCAAATTGGCAAACAATTTCTTCAATTTGTGCTTCCATTGCTTCATCACTTAACTCAAAAGCACTTTCAACAACTCTAACAACTCTCCATAAGCTAACAACAACAAGTAATCCTCCTCCATTTTTTTCCAAATATGCTTCCAAAAATAATGCCACCATAACCACTATGCCATCTAACAAGTACCCTGGTCTTCGAAAAAACGCGCACCCTAGACCTACAATAAGGCCTAC